ACAGAATGGTGAGGGATACAGCTGAATTAAGAGACAATGTCCCAAAGCTGGAGGATTAATCAAAGGGTTTATAGCACATCAAACTTTTACAGTACAAGATTTAGTTTTTACCTACTCTACTCACTTCCTATTTCATCATTCCAACATCCTTACTTTCCTCCAATTACACAAAATAAGAAAAATGCGCCCCCCTCCTTGAGAAATTTTGCAATGCTCTCCTCTGCCTGCACTGCAGTAGCTGCCCAGACACTTACCTTCCCAACAACCTCTATCTCCTCAAAGACCCTCTTTGATCCCTCTATTAAAGTTCCTTTCCTACATTTCAATCACATACACACAAAAAATCCATTTGGCTCTTTCAGAGTACCTTTAGAAATTTGTTGGTCCCCCCCCCACCCTGCCCGGTTTGTTTTCTGTATCTCTCTATAGGCTGTAATCATCATGAGGGTTGAATATTGCTCTATTGTTCATCATCCCTAGAATCAAGCACAGTGCCTGGAATATAGGAGGTGACACTCAAGAATTACTATGAGATTCATGCGATGGCTGATGGGTGGGTTCCTAAAACCGTCAGTAAGCAGCCAATTTCTGATATTGACCATGTGAGATTCAACAGAAATTGTGCATATTTTGTTTAAAATTTATTGCCCAAGAGTCATTAATTAACTCATGTATTTATTAACCAAACATTTATGGAATGCTAAGGGTGTGCCAAGGGAGCTCTGGTGGTGCAGTGTCAAGAAGCTGCACTGCAATCCCAAAGGGATGCAGTTCGAAACTACCAGCTGCTACATTGGAGAAAGATGGGCAGTCTTTTCCGTTGCGCTTAACTGCCTCTGAAAACCCGGTGGTGGGTCAGCTATGGGTTGGTTCCGACTTTGTGGTACTCAATAACAACAAGGGTGGGGAGCGCTGGTGGCCTAGTGGCAAGGAGCTGCAACTACAATAGCAGAGGCGCATGGTTCGAATCCACCAGATGCTCTGCCGGGGAAGGAGGGACAATCTCCTCCTGTACCAGTCAGATCTGATTTGACGGTACACTTACACAAAAATAAAAAAATTAAAAAAAACCCAAAAAAACCAAAAAACAACAACAAGGGTATGCCAAGTATTGCTCCATGTGTATGAATTAAATGCATGCATTAAAAAAACCTCCTTCTCTGGAGGAGTTGTTCTTAGGAACTATAGAATTGAGTATGACTCAGGGCAACCCTATGAACAACAGATCTGAATCCTGTCCTAACCTGTGCCATCCTCATCACCTCTGCCTACTCAAGCCCACTGATGTCGTCACTTTGTCAATCCGTCTCATGAGGGTCTTCCTCTCTTTTACTGATCCTCCTTTCTAAACATGTCCTTCTCCAAGAAATCGCCTCTCTTATCAATATGCCTGAAGTATGTCAGACCAAGTTTTGTTTCACAGCCTCATTTAAAGTATCTTGGTCAAAATTCCTCACTATTTGAATGGAAATGTATAGATCAGTAAGAATGGTGATGGACTGTTGTGTTATGTGCTGTTGAGTCACCTGCGACTCATAGAGACCCTGTGTACAACAGCCCTAAACTCTGCCCTACACTGTGCCAATCTCACTATCTCTGACACACCTGCCACCATTACCCCAGTCATTGAATCAATCCATCTCATTAAGGGTCTTCCTCTTCTGCTCTGTTCCTCTACCCTCTCAAGCATGATGTCCCTTTCCAAGGACTGGTCCCTCCTTGCAACATGTCCAAATATGTCAGACAAAACTTCAGAATCCTTGCCTCCACAGAGCAGCCCGGCTTCACCCTCTCCAGGACAAACCTGTTTGTCTTCCTAGCAGTCCATGGTATATTCAATACTCTTTTCCAACACCACAGCTCAAAGGCATCAATTCTCTATCAACCCTAATCACTGTCCACCTCTCCAATGCATAGCAAGTGATTGCAAAGACCACGGCATTTATCAGGCACACCTTAGTCTCCACACTGACATCTTTGCACTTCAGCACTTTAGAGAGGTCTCTAACAGCAGACTTTCCCATCGCATTATGTCTTTTAATTTTCTGGTCACTGGTGCTGAAAGGGCTGACTGTGGATCCAAGCAAACCAAAACTGTTAACAATCTCAATCTCTTCACCATCGATTATGATACTGCCAATTGTCCCAGTGGTGACAATCTTTGTTTTCTTGATATTGAGTCTCAAGCCATACTGAAGACTGCAGTCCCTGACCTTCCACAGCAAAAGGTTGTGGCATCTGCACAATGCAGATTGTTGCTGATTCTTCCTCCAATCCTGATGCCACATTTCTCCTCATAGAGCCCAGCATCCCAGATAACCTGTTCTGCATAAAGATTGAAAAGGTATGGAGACAGAATACAGCCCTGGCGTATACCCTTCCCAATTCTGAACCTTACAGTGTTTCCTTGCTCCGTTCTGACAACTGCCTCCTGGTCCAAGTATAGGTTTCATATAGCACAATCAAGTGTTCTGGGATTCCCATTCTTCTCAGAGTTAGCCACAGTTTGTTATGTTCCACACAGTCAAACGCCTTTGTATAATCAATGAAACACAGATAGACATTCCTCTGGTATTCTCTGCTTTCAGCCAAGATCCATGTAACATTAGCTACAATATCCCTAGTACGACGGCCCTGTCTAAATTCAGCCTGCACTTCTGGTAGTTCTCTGTTGATGTGCTGTTCCAGTCGTTTTTGGATAATCTTCAGGAAAATCTTGCTTGCATGTGATATGGATTAGAGCTGAAGAAATCAGATATAGTTACCATGTGACAACTAGGTACCTTTGTGGCTACTAGGCAGTAAAAAGCTCTTGTCCAGTGCTTTATGCTGTTGCTATGAAACACCCAGTTGGAATTGACTCACAGCTGATCTTCCATTGGGTTTTCAGAGACAGCAAATTGAATGGGAGGAAATGGTTTATCTTTCTCCTGCTGAGCAGCCCATGGATCAAATCTTGAGCTCCTGGGTTGGCAGTACAACTCCTTACCACTAGTCTTTTCAATTACTTGCTATGCATCTGAAAGTTGTTTCTGTTAAGTGCTGTCAAGTCACAGGTGACTCATAGGAACCCTATGAATGAAAGTCCTCAACACTTGCATCACTATCATCTTTTCTCTAGGTTCATAGGGTTTCTGGAAGCAAGCCATTTACGGAAGTGGCCACTCCTGCTTCCAAGCTTGTTTTAACGGGGAGCGCCACAAAACACTGTCTGAACATCTGAAAGTTAGACAATGAATAAAGATGACATTAAGAATTGATGTTTTCAAATTATGGTGTTGGAGGAAAGTACAGAATATCCCACGGACTGCCAAAAGAACAAATAGATCTTGGAGAAAGTACAACCAGGGTGTTCTTTAGAGAATTGCTGTTGACTGCCTTCGAGTCAAGCATGTCTCATAGTGACCTATGAACAATAGGCCTGAAGCCTTTCTATAACTATCAACATTTATCAAAGTTCATAGAGTTTCTGGAGGCATGTTGTTTAGGAAGTAGATGCCATTCCTGTTTCCAATAGTCTTTCATACATTGGGCATGTTGTTAGAAGAGGCTGGGGTCTAGAAAACGGTATCATACTTGGAAAGGATGAGGGTCTGTGTGAAAGAAGATCCTCAACTAGACGGATTTACACAGTGACTGCAACAATAGACCTGAGTATATCAGAGATAGTTAAGGATGGCACAAGATTCAGATCCAGTGTTCGCAGAGTTGTTTGAGTAGTAGTTGACTCGATGGCACTTAACAACAAATAACATAGAAATATCCATAAACCAAAAAACTCCACCCAAACCCACTGCAACGGCCACCTTACAGCGACGCTACAGGACAGAACACAACTGTTTCACAGTGATGCACCTTTCTCTAATCAAGCAGTGGTAGGTCTAAACCACCATCTTTTTGGTTAGCAGATAAATGCTTTAACTATTGTGCCACCAGAGCTTTATTGTGGTGTTGGTGAAGAGTATTATATATAATACAGATTAAAAGTACACACAAATCTGTCTTGGAAGAAGAGCCAGTGAGCTCCTTCTTGCTGTGTGCCATCAAGCCAGAACTGACCCATAGCTGGCCCTCCAGTAGGTATTCAGAGGCAGTAAATTGCATGGGGGAAGAATGTTCATCTTTCTCCCGTGGAGCAGCTGGGGGAACTGAATTCATGTCTTTGAAACTGCAGCTTAGCTTCTTACCACTAGGCCACCAGAGCCTTAGTAACAGTTATTTCAGGTTTCTGCTATCCTATACTCATCCCTCCAACACCCATTCTAGGAGAAATCAGGAAAAAGGAAGCCAATGAAAAGCCAGGTATTCAAACACTAATAACTAATCTGTGCAAGGACAAAGTGTCTGCACTGGAGTGTGGTGTTTAATTCAGACTGCCTTTTAAATTTGTTTTCTTCCCCTCTAAGATTTTTGTCATAGTTCCAGCTTTTAAGAGGAATAACTCAGGAAGGTAGGGATATTTAGAATTCAAGCATTGATGAATTCTAAATATACTTCTCATCACAAAACAGAAAAGACAACTTTTCTGGCAAAAGCAGAGTTCTCACCAAGAAAGGGAAGGAAGAAAAAAAGAGAAAGTACATGGGAGGAAGGAGTAAGGAAACCACAGCAGATATTTCAAAGCAGCACACCCTCACGTACCACTCTGACAATCCAGACTTCACGTAAGAGAAGCCATGTAGTTTTCTGCTCATTTAAAATAGGACTGAGAACAAGACTAGTGCAAAATCGGAGACATTTTTCAGGACAACATGCAAAAAGGCAAGGCTTCAATTCTACCAGGCAGCTCACATTCAAAAAGCTAACTACTTAGGAACCACACTCCCTTGTTCTGGCTTGCAGAAAACAAAGGCATGCATGAATGAAAACCTCAACCCCTTCTGTTTTGGAAGAGGAAGGAGCTCCTGTATTGACCAACATATATGGAGATACAGGTAGGTTTAAGAAAAAAACAAAAACACAACAAAAATTTAAAAACACACACAACCATGCCTATTTACCTTGAATAGGATAAGAATAATGTGCTGGGCTTGGCTGGCTTGTGGTTAACCCTGTAGTGCAGGTAAGAACACTGTGTTGACTTGGAGATGGAGTCTGAATTAAACCACTTTCAGGTTTCATACCTGGCCACAGTGCACCTGAATCAGATAAATTGGACCAATTACAAACAATACACGGGGACTGAAAAGAATGGCTTTATGATTGCAAATATTAATCAGCAGGTTTAAAATTTAAATCTTAAAAAAAATTTGCTTGTAAGAGAAAATGGATCCTCTCATTTGTAATTTATCACAAGCAAATATATGGTCAAAAAAGAATTAGGCGGTTGATGCCACAGAAACAAAACTCTTGGCTAAAACTCCTTTAGTGCTATTTACATAATTTCAGTGGTTGGGGGAAACTGACCAGGCTCCAGAGAAAGACCGACTGACAGTCAACTGGAGCATATGTCATTAAGGTGCCTGATACTCAAGTATAGTGATAAGTCATCTATACAGCACTGCCAAGGTGGGGCGATATTCCACCTTGGTTTAACATTCACTTACCCATTAAGCATTAAAGCACCAAACCTTTCTGAAATAGATGAACTATGTATTTATTGCTTTACCTTTTGAAGTTAACTTTGTTTCCTCCGATTAGAAAAGAAATACCTGCTTATTTTTAGAAATTAAAGATATTACAGAAGTATGGGACTAAGAAAAATTTAAACATTGTATAACCCCATCATCTAAACTTAACAGCCTGGAAAAGAGCCACCACATTTCTTATACACCTTTAACAATTATTTTTAAAAAATAAAAATGTGATGTTATACATACTAACCATACTTTGCTTTTTCCATATATCTGAGAGACATCTTTCAGTTTCAGATGGTAAAAACTTATCCTCTTTTTTTAAAAAAACAAAACAAAAAAACAGCTGCACAGCACTCAATGATTTACTTATTTACTGCTTCTGAGTTGGCTCTGGCCCATTCAATTTCTTTGCTATAAATCTTAGACCAATCTCCCGATCTTTCCCCTAAAGAACAACTGTGAATTTGAGCTATTGGATATTCAAGGCCTTGTGGTTAGTAGTGCAACATTCTACAGACTATCCCATGATAGCTCCCCCTCCAATGATTAGTTCAAGAAATTATGTTACATACAGTCTCTTAAAGGCAGACCTCATGGATGTGTTTTAATTTCTATCACAACGCTTCTGAGCAACAAGCTTTCTTTTTTTTTCTTTTGTGACAAGCTTTCCAAAATATCCTTTCTTGCCTTTGTAAGCAGAGAGGAAATAGCCAATACAGCTTTAAGTTTTATGCTGCTCCAAACTCTTATTGCTAGACATCACGGTTTTCAGAATTACTATTATACAGGTAAATAATGTACTCTATTATAGATACCACAGAGATACTCCCAGAGGCTTTTTTTTTTTTTTAGGTCTCAAGAGATAGACTTTATTAACTGACTGCAACAGGAAAAGTGGAAATTCTAAAAAATATGGACACCATTCCCACCAGCAGCAGGCAGGGTGAGGAAGCACGGTCCAGGAGGCCCAGGATGTTTGTTCCCAGCAGAGGGGTTGGTCCACTCAGTTGAGAGTCCTGAGACGCCTCACCAGGGAAGAAGCATAAAGGCATCAGCCAAGGACCGAAAACTAAGTAGCCATAGGCCAGGCCCAAGGAAAGGTAGAAGGCACCTAGAATATGACCCCCCTTGAGATTGGCATCACCAAGGAGGTGTCATGGGCTGAAGATTCTGTAGATAGGACATCACCATGGCCAAGATGGACAGCATGAAACGACTCATCTGTTTGGTATACTCTGAGTTCTGGGAACGGGTGAGCTGATGAAGGAACAGTAGACCCAAGCACACCACTTTAGCTTGAGCATGAGACCACACATGCTGAAAATCATGCCTAGTAGGTTCATGTAGTCCGGCATCAGGTCATCCAAGGCTGGGTTACACTCATTCGGAGGAGGCTTGCACCTAAGCACTTTGTTTGTCCTTTGTGGGTCCAACATATTGTTCACAGACATAGCTAATCAAAGCTATTATGTGAACATACCTAAAATTAACACTAAATAGAATTCAGTTATATTTGATTTTTAAGTTCTTGTGCCTTTTGTTAATTTTTTCATCTGTGTTCTCTTAATTCTTGACAATCTTCAGTTCTAGCTGTAGTTCCTTCTAAGTTTGCATTAAACTAGGAAACTGTAACAAAGCTTGCTAGAGTGTTGTTGTTTTTGTTATGTGCCGTCAAGTTGTTTGCGACTCATAGCGACCCTATGCACAACAGCCCTAAACCCTGCTCTGTTCTGCGCCAACCGCACTGCCTCTGACACACCCATCCCGATTACCCCAGTCACCAAATCAATCCATCTCACAGAGGGTCTTCCCCTCCTGCGCTGTCCCTCCACCCTCCCAAGCATGATGTCCCTCTCCAAGGACCCGTCCCTCCTGGCAACATGTCCAAAGTATGTCAGACGAAGCCCCAGAATCCTTGCCTCCAAGGAGTAGCTTGGTTTAATCCTCTCCAAGATGAATCTGCTTGTTTTCCTGGAAGTCCATGGTACATTCAGTACTCTTCTCCAGCACCACAGCTCAAAGGCATCAATTCTCTTTCTGCCCTCTCTAGTCATTGTCCAACTCTCTGATGCATAACAAGCGATTGCAAAGACCATGGCCTGTATCAGGCGCACCTTAGTCTCCAGAGAGACACCGTTGCTCTTGAGTACTTTATAGAGGTCCCTAACAGCAGACTTTCCCATTGTGATACGCTTTTTGATTTCCTAACTGCTGGTGCCAAGAATGTTGACTGTGGAGCGAGCAAACTGAAGCTGTGAACAATCTCAATCTCTTCACCATCCATCCTGATGCTGCCAATTGGTCCAGTGGTGAGAATCTTTGCTAGAGTATAGAGTTAAAATGAGACTAAGTTGCTTCTGTGTGAAAGCCCAAGTCTGATGCCTTTATGAACAAAATAATTAACTTTAGTGTATAGCTTCTATGACAGGCTTAGCTATGCAGTATGACAGGCTTAGCTGTGCAAAACTATACTTATAAACTAACCAATCAAACAACTTAATGCTTGGCTGTTCACTGTATTCTGATGTCATGGCTACTGAATCAATGTAGCTGAAATTGAAATTTAGGTCCAAAGAGGGTTTATAAAACACAATAAAGAAATCAATACCAAGGTAAACTGTGGCTTCAAATTCAATAATAACTATTTTAATTTACCCTTACACTGATGATCAATTTAGCTGATGAGTAATAAGAACAACAGAATGATGGGGACTTCATCTTTACCAGAGCACAAAGGCATTGTTAGATGCCACCGAGTCAAGTACAACTCGTAACAATCCTATGAACAAAAAGATCTGAAACCAGTCCTGTCTTATGCCATGCCATCCTCACACTTCCTGACACACAAGAGCCCATGGTAGAAATTATCATCTCAGTCCACCTGGTTGAGTCTCTTCCTCTCCTTCACAGATCCTCCACCCTTCCCAACATCATGTCCCTCTCCAATGAATAGGTCCTCCTAGCAAAATGTCCAATGTATGTGAGGCAAAGCCTTATCATTCTTGCCTCTAAAGAGGGCTCCAGCTGCACCCTCTCTACAACGTATCTATTCGTTTTCCTGGCCATCCATGGAATGTTCAGTGCTCTTCTATAGTACCACAGCTCAAAGGAATAAATTCTTTTATTGACATCCTTATTCACTGTTCAGCTCTCAGATGCATAGATAGTAATTGGAAAGGCCATGGCCTGAATCAGACACATCTTAGTCCTCAAACTGACATCACTACTACTCAATAATTTGGAAAGGTCCATAACTGCAAATTTTCCCAGTGCAATGCGTCTCATTTCCTGACTGCTGGTACCAAGGGTGCTAATTATGGATCCAAGCAAGATGAAGCTGTTGACAGTTTCAATCTCCTCTCCATCAATCATGACACTGCCTATCAGTCCAGTGGTAAGAATCTGTTTTTTTCTTGATATTGAGATGCAATCTATACCGAAGGCTCCATTCCTTGATCTTTCGCAACAAGTGCTTCAAATCCTCCTCGCTTTCAGCAAGCAAGGCTGAGTTACTGGCATAATGCAGGTTACAGATGAATCTCCCTCCAATTCTGATGCCACACTCCTCTTCAGAGTCCAGCTTCTCAGAAAATTTGCTCAGCATATAGATTGAACAGGCATGGAAACAGAATGCATCCCTGATGCATTCCCTTTCCAATTCCAAACCACGCAGTACTCCCCTGCTCCATTCGCATACAGCCTCCTCCAGGCATAGGTTCCTCATGAATATAATCAAGTGCTCTGGGATTCCCATTCTTCTCAATCTCAGCTACAACTTGTCATGATCCACACAGTCAAAAGCCTTGCATAGTCAATAAAGCATAAATAGACTTTCTTCTGGAATTCTTTACTTTCAGCCAGGATCCAGCTAACATCAGCAATGTTATCCCTGGTGCCATGGCCTCTTCTAAATCCCTCTTGAATTTCTGGCAATTCCCTATCTATGTACTGTTCCAGCTGTTTTTGAATGGTCTTCAGCAGTATTTTGCTAGCATGTGATATCAATGACACTGTTCAGTAATTTCCATATTCAGTTGAATCACACTTCTTGGAAATAGGAACAAATACAGACCTCTTCCAATCTGTTGGCCAGAGAGCTGTCCTCCAAATTTCCTGTCATAAACTAGTGAGTGCATCCAAGGCTGCATCTGTTAATTGAAACAAGTCAATTGGTATCCCATCGATTCCTTACGCCTTCTTTTTTTGCCAGTGCCTTCAATACAGCTTCCATTTCCTCTTTCATTACCAATGGCTCCTGTTCATATGGTACTTCCTGAATTTTTTTTTTGGTACCAAGACACCTCAGCGTAATTCAGATATGTCAAAGTTGCTGACATGCAAATTTAAAAACAGTAAAAGGAAATGTGAAAAATTTTAAATGGTCAACAATGAGACATAAGCTGAAGAGTCTTAAATATACCATGGACTGCCAAGAAAACAAATAGGTCTGCCTTAGATAGGGTGAAACCAAGTCTCTCCTTGGAGACTATGATTTTGAAGCTCTATCTCACTTACTTTGGGCACATGACCAGGAGAGATTGGTCCTTGGAGAAGCATATCAT